CAATATAGTTAAGCCATCAATTGAGTTAACATTTAAGTAAGGGCACTACTGGTATTTTAATTAATGACATTACATGGGTTATTTAATTATAAGGGTAAAGTGAATATTTTGAAACGTTAGGGAGGTCATGTGGCAATAGACGAAACCATAGGGGGGTTTTAAATAATTTACCCAAATAAATATTGCTCTATTAAATTTACCGTGGTTTAAAAAATTAGTAAAGTATTCTTCATGAAAATTACAATTATTGAGCCGTACTATACATGTTACTCTAGTAAAGACTGAAAGGTCAGTGGATAAGCTTGCGTTTCTTGGCAGTCTCTTTCATCAAGCGAGTTCTTCAGCTACAATCTTGAGAAGCTCTTCTTGGTCCTCTTTCCTTGCAATTTTGGCACTTCTTCTTTCCTCCCTCTGAATATCTTCAAAAGTAGCCTCCACGGCTTTATCATCCTTTTCATTGTCGTGGTACTTGCTTGGATCATACCCATACATTTTTCTGATCATAATGCTAATGGCTCTAGCATCGACGGAGTCGTCAGGTTTCTTCCTTTTAAGATGACGAAGTGAGAACTAGCTTCAGGCTTTGAATTCTTGATTATTTGCACCTTTTGTTGCTTCTTCAACTGCTGGACACGATTAATAGGCTTCTTTATTGTTGAGGAGGAAGACTGCACTGATCCTTTGGAGGGCATAGGCAGCACCTTTTTTTGAATTTTCCAGCAAGAATTTACTACTGGGGATTCTCCCTTTTTTATGGAGGCTTGCTTTGAAACTGCAGCAGGATTCAATCTTGTACTCTTTGCTCCATTATGATTTTCCAGGCTGTCACTAGGATGAATTGCTGCCTTATTCTTCTCTTTGGGATCTTGCATTGGAACTGGGATCCCTTTAGGACTCATGCTAGCAGGCTGACTGGTAGAAGCTTGATTTCCTGTCCCCAAACTGTGTTGCTTTTGCCTGTCAGAAACTGCAAGTTTTCCGTCCTCCTTTTTGCTCCTAGCATGACTAGGAAGTGATGATTTTTTCATGATCTTTGGTTGCACCTGAGCAGTTGGAGCCTCAGGGTTCTTAGGAGAAACACATGCCATTTGATCAGAAGTATTGTCGGACGAAAGAGAGGAATAGTCCCTCATAGCTCTAAGCATCTGGGCTTTTACTCTTGCCCCAAGAATATTGCTCGTTGATGGTTTTTGGTCAGTGGATGCAGCCAGAGGCTTAGAACCTGAAGCCCCAGTTTCTCTCATTCTTCTGAAGAACGGCAACTTCAGATTTTTTGTAAGACGACTAATAAAGCGTTGTCTTCAAGCAATCTTGGAGCGATGGAAGACTGTGAAGGTCCAAAGAAAGAACCATAATCACCGTCAAACCACAAGGAATGATTACTTTTTACAGGTTGATCAGGAATACTGATCTTCTTTCTGATAACTTGTTTGAGTTTGGTCCTCAACTGCTGGAACTTCAACTGCTCCTTTCTGGGCTCTCGATGGATCCTTCTTCCATGCTATTCTTTGATTCAATCCTCAAGAACTAACGTTTGAACAAGTGGGTCGCTTCTATTTTGCTGTAAATAATTCTTGAATGCCGAATTTGACAGAGTAACGAGTCTCAGGAATTGTTGAGAGAACTTTCAACTGAGTGGGATGGACGAGGGATGACAAGAAGGGAAGTAACTTTCAGAACTGAGGCTCAAGAACGATTTAAATACAAACGAATTGCGTCCGATTCCTTTCAAGAAATAGGAGAATAACACTAAAGTCTCCAAATCCTTTCAAGAACAGGATATTAACAAACCAATTTTCAGCACCAGCACTTTCCAAAAGTTGTGAACATCAGATTTAGAAACTTCCTAACTTTCCCAAATTTTGATTAATCTGTAATGTGATAAAGAGTACAACCACATTATCTTAGCCCAGATGCGGATAAGATGACAAATTAAGTCGGTCATTGACACTCTCTTTCTTGCTCACTGATTGAGACCATCTCCTTCCTGCTCACCCTAGAATTCCTCTTCCAATCAACCAAGGGTGCAATGTTGCCCATTTGTGCCTAGGGGTGTTAATTGGGTATTTAAGCCAAATTAATTGGGCTATTTGAGTCGGATTTTGGCAAGTTTAGACTCGATTCACAAATTATACGGATTTTTGAATTTTGGGCTTCAGGCTTCGAGCTTAAATTAAAAGGCTCAAACTCAATTCACAGTATTATTTGAATTTTAGGTTCAAATCGAGCTCGACTTAAGTTCATAATTAAATACATAATTATATATAATATATATTTTATAATTATGAGTTACTATAAATTTATATATAAATTATTAACATTTTATGTCATAATATGTATAATTATAAATTATAGAAATTATTATATACTAGCATTAATGGCACATCCAATGTATGTGCAATAAGGAAATACTTAAAATAAATCAATTTTGTATAAATTTTGTTTGTTACATACAAAAAATTTATATAAAATTTTCATGAAAAACTTTGTTTTATATGATTATAGTAATTTGGTAGTTATAATATTTAGAGTGGTTATCAATAGTTTTACTGGCAAAATGTGATTAGGTGATTAGGGTAAAACTTAATTTTAATAAGAGTAAAATTAGAAGTTCAAATGATGACAAAAAGTATTGACACTAATTGTTATTGCTTATACATAGGTGTAGCTTTAATCAAGTTTGAGTTTAGTATAGTCCAAACTCGTTCAGATTTAGTTCAAATCTAATATTTAGATTCAATCTGTGCTTCTTGGCCCAATTAAAGCTTATGCTCAACGGGCTTTTTTTGGATTGACTAAGTTGAGCTTGAATTGACTCGACTCCATTAACAGCCCTATTTCTGCCGGGCTATAGTGACCTTATATTTCACATAGTTTTTCTAATTTCTTGAAAGACAAATTGCAAAACCAAAAAAGTACAGACAGAATCATGATAAAGTTTTGAAGAGAGCACCAATCTTTGTTTGCTCCAAATAGAGTGCCAAGACTTGGTGAAAAATTATTGATCATACCTTAATCTCAATTAGGACCACTGTTATTTCAATAAATTCAGAAGATAAGGCATTTAGACATTGATATGAACACTTTTGCTATCATTACACTCCAGGAGTACTTGTGGAAGCCACCCAGCCTGACTACGACAGAAAGCACTGCAAATTTCTGGATGCCAAATTCAACCAAGTAACTCAAAGAAAGTATATTACCATTTTAGAGCAGGCTTGAGCATCAATCTCTTCAATCTACGCCCCTAGGAAAGGATTAAAGTTTGAAATCAGATTGACAAAACTGAAGTAACCATATAACACTGAAATTTATACACTCAAACTGACTACATAACAAATGCTAGTGTTAGTGTTCCAACTTCCAAACTGAGTCCAACAATTGAGCTGTTACCGAAAAAGCAACGGGAATCAGTATCGGCCAATACTCAATATTTCTTCTCTTCATTTTCAGCCTCTGCCTTCTTCAAGCTAGTAAAAATATGGCTCATACATCGCCTCTCAATTGCAGCTTGTCATAATCATTAAACGGCTTCATGCCTGCAAGCAATGAAGCTAAATTTAAATGACAGCAGCAAAAATTGAACTTTAAAATCCGGTTTAATATGATAAAAGGTGATTAAGATAGTTAGTCTTACCTTGAATTTTTAAGCAGGTCTGAGGAAGATATCTCATTTCTGATTTGCAGATGTTCTTTTTCTTTATTAACTTTCCTTGCTTATGATTCAGCATTCAAGGAGAAGGGAAAGAAACATGAAGAAAACCTGTGCTTCTTGTTGGTATTGCAGATAAGCCAGTTGAAATCCGTCCTTGCAATTTGCAGAGATATCAGCCTTCCTTGTATTTTTGGCTGTGGTTCTGAATTTGATTTTTTTCACAAACTTGATATCCTTCTTGCTTTCAGGCTTCAATATGTTACAGCATTCCAACTCAGTCTTAACGTTTGAGGTCAAGAATAACTTTGGCATCGCGGCCTTATAACAGCATATTCAATATCTCATATGGTCATCTCCAACATTATTGGTACCATGAGTGCAAAATGTTGGAGTCAGAGAGAGAAGAGGTTCTAGAGGCAAAAGGCTGATTGGTGCTGTGTCAATTTTCTTCCACAGAGACCAACTTCGATTAAGTAGTGCTGTATTTGCATGAAGAGTGATTGTACAATATATTTACAGAACCATTAATATGTAAAACATTAAAGTATCAAATGTATCAATTGCAGTATCAGTTATCTGAATCAATTTTTAGCATGTATCTCAGCATGTCAATCGTCTAACTCGAACCACAACTTAACTGATTTGTTCCAGCATCCATTGCTTAAAAAGAAAGTCTTCGTCTCATTGAACTCCAAATGACAAGTGCAACTAATAACATTAATTAAAGTACACAAAACCTATGGGTGCCAAAATCTTAGTATTGGATTTAACTAATAAACAAGAGCAGATGGAAAACAAAGAATTGCAGAAGAGCACTCTTAGGATGCATAGACAAACTCACAAGTCTAATATGCAATAACTCGATAACTTTGGGGAATCAAAGGGTATTATTCCCCAACTTCTTTCAGTTTTAAACTGATAGTATCCTTGAATGTATGCATGACAGAGTACTGTCCTTCTAAACTACCATGTCCATACCCATCTCCATAGCACAATCAAAAGATTCAAATTCTTATATTAACAGGTGTAACCACAATGACATTCACTTGGTAAGAATCAGCCATAGTACCAACGATATGATTCCAATGGCAAGCTCATACACCTTCAGTTTTGAATAGCTAGTCTGATCTTTGCCAAAAGAAATAGCCGGAGGAAGAAATATCAATCACAATACAAGAATACTTCAATAGATTTTAACAAGGTAAGCCATTCCACTAGATAAGTCATTGTATTTGCAGCCAAATGGCAACCTACCTCACAAAATACAAGATAAACAAGCAAAAAAGCATGAAAGCAAGAGAATTTAATTTCTCAGACCAGTAATTAGAGCTAACAACGTGAATGCTCAGTCCCAATCATATGTCCTAACAAATACAACCTGGCAATCCTTGGAACATTTTCGGAATGACAATATCCTGTTGCACTCTTCTGACCAAGACAACCAAGGCTTTATAACAACACCAACAGTCATCTTCTTTAAAGATTTTCCATTCTCCAAAAGGTACTCAACTAGCTTGAACTGATCTTCCTGCCCCCTGAAATGTTCGATTTCTATCTCCTTGAGATGTTGTATGAAGGATGCTGGAATAGTCTTTGGCCAAAAGCAGGTAAATTCTTCTACATATAGCTCGTACCTATACACCTGTCCATTTGCAGAAGATTATCAATTCTACGATCAAAGGTTCAACATTTGTCCATTATCAGGAGATATTAGCGACGCCAGAAAATATGAACTTTGACTTATCAGTTACTCACAAAAGGAAAGATGAGCACTTCAAGGTTAGGAGAGCAATTTCCAGTAAGCTTGTACCACTTTCCAGAACAGAACATGATCAAAGTCAGCCATCAATAGAGGTATCGAGGGCTCCAAACTCTTCAATTTGCTGAAAGTCGGCAATGATTGTTGACAATAATAGACGCATCTTCAGTCAAAAATGGAGGGGGATTAAACTTCTGTACTTGATAGTATAAAATTTCAGTTACACTATAATCTAAAAGTAAAAGCTTTGGAAATGACAAAACCAAAGTGAAAGGCAAAAGTGAGACCATACCTGCAGACTCTGCCCATATAAATGAAGTGATTTCACACTTTGTAACCCCTTAATAAGCTCAAAACCTCGCTGACTTCGCAGCCAACAAACTGCTTTCAGTTTATTTCTTCTGGATTAAACTCTAGCCCTATCGTGGCTCTAACAAGACGACATATTCCGGACGAAAACTGATATCAGAAGCATAACCAGTATACTTGAAATGCTTAACATTTGGCGTATGCTAGATAAACTTTATGATTTCCGTAGTCCATGAATTCTAGATATTCAAGATGGGTCAACTTCAAAACAACACTAAACTCACCTTCCAAGCATCCCAGTTCGAGTTTTCTAAGTAAAAGACTAGAAAATATCAAGAACTCCATCCATGTTGCTTAAATGATCAAAATTCAGTATCAATTCTTCAAGCAAAGGACAGCAGTCAATAAACCTCTGAATAGAATCTTCATCTACCATTTTGAAGCCTATCAAGTGCATTACCTTAAGGTTTGGTAAAGAAACTAAGTCAGGGATGATCCAGATCCACAGCCTTCCACAGTTTCAAACTCACTAGTGTTTTGCAGGTGAACATTAACGGTGGTGATAATCTGCTTGTTTCATCTCTCCATCAGACAAATATCAAGTTCTTTGACCTTGCACAGAAGTGCAGCGGGATATCAACGAGTGAATTCCTAATCGATAATTGTCACCACAGGGTCTTACAAAGAGACGAAATTTCCTTAAAGGAGCTCCATTTCGTCGCAGAATAAGTCTAAAGCCGAAGTTTAGAAAATCAGGGAACATAAGATCCGGATCAGCATCTTCGCCCATAAAAGGCCTAGCTGTATTGATGCTGAGATAAACATCAGGAAGTTGAACAAAAAGGTTTCTCCATCTGGTGGATAGGACTGAGGTCAGTGCTGCATCTTCTGTACTGTAAAGGAATGACAGGATGTGGCAGAGAATTTCATCCGGAAGGGCACTCAACCTATCAATTTCTTCATCATTGCCATCTGGGGTCTTAGCATTTCTTTTGAGAGCCTTACAGTCTGGAATATCAGCCATTATTGGACTGTTTCTTGAAAATTAACCAACTGGGCTTTTATCAATTTTGTTAAAACAACTCAGGATCAACTAGGATTTCCTCAATTCGTCAAAATTTCTGATCTTCTGTCATACTAAAACTAAAATAGGAATAGGAATCTTTCCCAACCTGAAGGCTTCAAACTAATCGATTATTTCATGAATGCATAATAACTATCAAAACTAAAAGATAAGAGGCAACTTAAACTAGAAAAAAGAACCTGCATTTTTCGGTGTGTTGCAGTTAAGCATTTGATTAATTGAAGCCCTCTTTGGAATCATGTAGGGAAACGTGAATCTGTGCTTGTTCTGGCAGTTCGAGAAGTGTCTGCTGCAAGAATTCGATCGGAACTCCGTAATCTCCGATCTTAAGCACATTTCTTGAGCCCTGGAAGCCTTCTCTATATTAGGCTGCCACCTGTACAACAACTGCTATGCATCCTACTTTATTTGGCGGGAAAAGTACCCCTTCCCTCCAAGTGGGAGTTGGCTCCTCTACAAAGAGTCTCCACTCTCCAATACTTCAATCCAATTTTGGATTAATGACGCGTGTATTAAGGATATATGAGATTACCTCTAGTAAAGTGAAAGTAAAGTGAAAATCACCTGTTTCATCATTCATATTTTGTAAAAAAATATTCTTTTAATCTTTTACTTTTAAAATGAAATAAGTTCATTTCTAACATTTACAAATTAAAATTATTACATTATTGAATCCAACTTCCAATCTTAATCAAACTGTCCAGTAATCTAATAATAAATTTCGGAGATAGAATTGATAGATCACTCTATCATCTCCATCAAATTTGCATGACATTTACTAAACCAAAAAAAGAAAAAAAATTAAAAATATATATAGCATAAAAAGGCCGTTCTTTGTTTGGAATGGTAAGATTTCTTTTTTGGATAAATTTTTTCGTGCACTATTAGTATATATATTTGCGAGTCTATATGTATAGCATACATAAAAAGTTTGGTGTTTAAATTTAAATTGAACTAACGTGACAAGTATTTAGATCCGTCAATATATACAATGACAATGTAGAAAAAATTAATCTTTTTTTTATGTTACAATTTTTATTTTTCTTGGCATATCATTTGTTAGAATATTCGCTTTTCATCTTTGGCAAATCGATTGCCTTTTGCTTTTGTTAACAGTCACGAACACATGAAAGCTAGCTTGGAGAGCCTTTTTCTGATTTCATTTTATAGATGTTGATATATAATTTGTGTTGAGCAAAAAATTAATCTAATTTGCAAAATCATTCTCGTATTTTTGTTATGTAATATATTAAGAGTATGTTTGATAAAATTGAAATTTGACATCTAAAATCTAAAGTCTGAATCCATTAAACTACTAAATTGTTAAGTACTAAATATATTTGAGTACATATCACATTAAGTAATAAGTGAATAGTTTATCACTTATTTTTTCAGAGTAACTTTTGTTTAGGAAATTCAGTGTCACTTAATTAATTCAAATGTTTTTTAAGTTATCAAACACGTTTGAACATATTAAAATTTAAATCCATAGGTTTAAGTCCTGAATGCAGTTTATTCAATTCTCATTCCATGTATAGGTTTTCATTAATTGCAATTATATCAAAACGCAATTGGAAACTCTAAATTCATATAATTAACTCGTCTCTTTACTCTCCTAATCAAAAGTATGAATTTTATTCCAAACAAAAAGTAAACTTTACCTAAACTACCAATGTACAAATTTTTATACACTAACAAGTGCGGATGAATGTTATATACTCTTTATTCAAAATTCAAAATTCTTGTTTGAACATGTGTTATGCACTTAAACTTGCTCGTGTATAATATTCCCATATACCATTGATTAAGATTAGTCCAGTTAGATATTATCCTTTTTGTTAAGTTAAAGAACTTGGATGTAAAGATAGATCATATTTTTGTGGTTTTAAGCAATTAGCCAACTACTCCACATTGTTGTGTTTGGATTGCATTTTTCATGAATTTTCATGGAAAAATTACTGTAGCGATCTAATGTATGTGAGGAAAAAAGGTAATAGAGAAATGTGATCACAAAAAACTACGTAATTTTCAGACGGAAAACCGCAATCCAAACAAGAGTTTTTTTTAAAACTTTGCTAATCCAGGTTTTTCATGTTTGAAGTGTGAATTTTGGTGGGAAACATTTTATGTCAATGAGGCCGGGATTGTCTTTGGTGCATGGACTCCTAAACTGTGATGATCATGTACCAAATAAGTAGCAAGCACCTATTTTTAGAAGAAGTAAAAATTTAATACGGTGATGGTGCAATAGAAGATTCCTAATATAAATCTTGGTTTCTTGATCTAGCGAGCCTTCAAACATCTTGATCTTTTCCATCTAATCTTTCATCATTTACCAGGCTTTTGTAGTTTGCTGAAAACAAACTGCAATTAGCTCCAGGAATGATTGATTTGGCACCAAAGAAAGGGACTACGATGTGAGAAAAAAGGTGGGGTTGCAAAATAAAGTGGTGAGGTTTGATTTGTATTTTAATGTGAAGTGCAACCCTTCAATATCTACCAACAAAATCATGATCAACTCAATCAATTGTTTTATTTATTAACGGAATAATACCCCATGCAACTTCGGTTCATTGGATGATAAAAAAAATTTAGTTAAATTTGTTGAAATAACTACCTATAATTCATTGTAATATTTTTTGAAATAATATGAACTGGCATTACAACTTATACATTAGTTTAGTAAGTAAAACATAATATGACGTAGATATATTTTGATGAAAATAACTCCACCAATTTGGTACTTGAAATAATCGACAGGGTTCTTTTAGGGTGCCACAGCTTATTAATTACGTCATATGTCTATGGCAATAGAATGGACCATGCAAAATTTTAAAAATTTTCAATTACAGATTGATTCTTGGAAAACTTTGAAATACCTTGTATGCAACAAATTTACGTTCCATGCCTCTAAAAAGTGACAATATGAAAAATTTTGCAGTAAAAAAAAAAAAAAAAAAAAAAAAGAGAAGATGTTCGTAGCATTGAGCACTTAGGAAAAGGTTAAAAATTGACTTACCATATCGGACAGGAAAAGTATCATATATGCTTTTAAAAAACCCTCCTATTATTCATATTTAATTATGTAATATAGAGAGACAGGGCATCATTAATCAGTACCTGAAACATCGTGGACAATTACCATATTTTCCTGGTCCTCCATGGTAAACGAAATCTCCCCAATCATCATCATGCTTTCCAAGCACTATATTCTAGCAATTTGGGTTGTCTACTTGAAGATTCTTGAAAAATTTTGGCCCTCCAAACTTTTCCTGAGGAAAATGACCACTACTCATATGACTTGTAATGTGTAGCCCATTTATTGTGGAGTTTACCACCTCGCCACCCTATCCACTCACTGAAGCACTATCTGCAGCCAGGTGAACAAGGAAGCGAGTAACCTTGGCCAAGAGAGTTTTAAACCTCTATTTAAATATAGGTTAAGGAATTAAATTTTATGATTTGTATTCTTAAAAATTCAGAATTTCCTGAAAAGTTTCGTCGACGAATGCATAGGTACCCGTTTGGATCAATGGTTCGATGGTGGTTCAGTCATCTCGTGCTCTCACCTAACCTTTTTAGGTCACCTCCCTTTTCCCTAGTATTAAATAGGAGTAGGTCTAGATTAAAATTTATCATGTCCGAAAAAAAAAAAAAACAAGAAGGCAGGCCAGTATAGTACGCTGATCTGACAACTATCTGTTGAGAGTGTAAAGACTATCCTTTCAACTCCAGTTATTGACTTTTGTTGAATTAATTAACCCTAATCCCAGAATTTACTTCAAAAGCCGGCAACTCTTGAGGCAGTCCCAGAGACTTAACTACCCAACCCAACCCAACCCCTGAATCGATGTGGGATAAACTTCCTATAGGAGGGAACTCTACTACTAAGTGAGATACTACCACCCAAGAACCCAATCTACCTAGGAGGTTTGTCTTCTTTCAACTCCAGTTATTGACTTTTGTTGAATATCCTTGACTATCCTGTAAAGACTATCCTTGACCACTAATTAAACGTGTTAACGAAGTTGGATTTTGCAGTTCTTTCCCAGGGCAATCTAGTCTACACCCTGGTTATTATATCCCTATCTCCGGCTCCAATGTGGACTCGGTCTGAGGGTAGTCGCGTCAATTCACCAAATCCACCGTCATTAAATAGGCTTTTTGACCACCAAACCTCTATTTATTCATAGTTAACTTCCCCACGAAACAGAAGCAGCCTTAACCTGAAAGCACTCTTTCTCCCTTGTTTTCTGAAAAATTTCGTCCAAAAAATCAGAAGAAGAAAATCCTTGACTATCTGAAGATGGGTTCTGAAGGAAACAAGATGAACGACGGCACCAGCTACCAGCCATCGGAGCCGACCTTGTGCGCGAACGGCTGCGGATTTTTCGGCTCGCCGGCGACGATGAATCTCTGCTCAAAGTGCTACAAGGATTTCCAGATGGAAGAACAACAAAAGGCAGCTGCTAAGGTTGCCTTGGAGAAGCTCGTGACGTCTCAGAAAAAGGCCGATGATGCTTCTCATGTGGGTTCTCCAGAGTCTTACGGTACGGCGGCGGAGCAAGTTGAGAGGCAGGAGGAAGCGGTTTCGGCGCCGGCGGCGGTTGTGAAGAGTAATAGGTGCTTTTGTTGCAATAAAAAAGTAGGGGTGATGGGGTTCACCTGCAGATGTGGTAGTACCTTCTGTGGGCTCCACAGATACCCAGAAAAGCACGATTGTACCTTCGATTTCAAGGGCCAGGGCCGGGATGCCATAGCCAAGGCAAACCCGGTGGTGAAGGGCGATAAAATTCAGCGGTTTTAGTTTGGATGGGTTTAGGCCTGAGTCCGGAACCAATCCGGGTCGGAGTCGGGTCTCCGTGTGTTTCTAAATGGGTTTCTTAGCTTGGTTAGGTCACATTCTTCCTGTGGCAAAGATGTCACAAATTTCTTTATCC